TGCCGAACATGTTCCCAAACTAAACCCGTCCAAATGCCTACATTTGGTCCATATCTGTCCAAACCTTTCCTTTTCATGAACTTATCCAAATGTATTTTAAACGTTGTAACCGTAACTGTATCCACCACCTTCTCTGGCAGTTCATTCCAGACAGGAACTACTCTCTCTGTAAAAAAATAAAAAATCGCTCCTCATGTCCTTTTTAAATCTTTCCCCTCTCACCTTAAAAATATGCCCCTAGTTTTGAACTACCCCGCCTTAGGGAAAAGACCTTTGCTATTTACCTTATCTATGCCCCTCAGGATTTTATAAACCTATAAGGTCATCCCTCAACCTCCTCCGCTCCAGTGAAGGGTGGCATGGTGCCTCAGTGGTTAGCACTGCAGCCTCACAGCCCCAGGGATCCGGGTTCGATTCCACCCTTGGGCAACTGTCTGTGTGGAGTTTGCACATTCTCCACCGGTGTCAGCGTGGGTTCCCTCCGGGTGCTCCGGTTTCCTCCAAAGATGTGCAGGGTAGGTGGATTGGCCATGCTAAATTGCTTGTAGTGTTCAGGGATGTAGAGCTTAGGTGGACTATAGGGAGGATAGGTCAGTGTGGACTTGTTGGGCTGAAGGGCCTGTTTCCACACTGTAGGGATTCTATGATTATACACAATGATCAAAAAAGTCCCAGCTTATCCAGCCTAATTATACAACTCAAACCCTCCATTCCTGGTAACATGCTGGTAAATCTTCTCTGAACCCTCTTCAGTTTAATAACATCCTTCCCATAACAGAGCAACCAGAACTGCACACAGCATTACAAAAAGGTCAACATGCTGTATAACCTCAACATGACATCCAAACTCCCACATTCAAAGGCCTGAGCAATGAAAGCAAGCGTGCTAAACACCTTCTTAACCACATTGTCGATCTGTGACGCAAATTTCAAAGAATTATGTACCTGAACTCTTAGGTCTCTCTGTTCTACAACACTACCTGGATCCTACCATTAATTGTACAAGTCCTGATGTTTGTTTTTACCAAAATGCAATATGTTGTGTTTAACCAAGTCTTTGTCTAAAACAGCCCTCAAGATATCCCATGTCAAACCATGAATGAGATTTCATTCTCCCGAGTTCTGTCAGAGTTGAAGGGACAAAGTCGTTGACCCTTACCTCCTCCACTTGATCCTTTGACAACGTGGCTCACTGTCACTTTGCTGAAATCACCTCCAGAAGGACAGGGATTCAAGACTCAGCAGCCCCAAATACATCCCAGGTCTACCAGGCATAATCACAAACTGTACTCCTCTCAGATTCACTGATTGGTAGACTGGTTCCATCAGACCCATTCCAGACTCACAGCCAATTCGGATTCTCTAACAGCCATCCCACACACCATCTGACATTGTCCATCCCAGAATTACATTCTGGATACAATATGTCGATCTTGCTGATGAGTGGGATTGGGTCAAGAGGGCAGGTGTGGAGCATGGGATGGGAGTGTTTTGAGGATCCGTCTTGGGGAAGGACAGACAAGGTGGTTCTGTTTGAAGGAGGGGCTCGTATCTGAAAAGATGAGCGCAGATGTTGCTCGGGGATAGTCTGGGCAGGGATGTGTCTGGGTGTTGCGGGTGGTTAGGCATTGGGGACGGTGATGCATCTGGGAGCGATGAGGGAAAGGGGCATGTGTTTGGTAGTGAGGTACGTTGCTAGAAGTCCACCTGGACGATGGTATGACAGAGATGGTGATGTGTCTGGCAGTTTGGGGCAATGAGTTGAGGCAGGGGTGCTGAAATCTCTGGGATGTGTGAGTCCTGATGTGTCTGGAAGTGGGTTGGGGCAGGGGGCATGATGTGTCTGAGGGTGTGGGGTAGGGGGTGCAATGGAGGAAAGGGGAGACAGTACAGATGATGTGCCTGGTGTGGGCGGTGGGTGGGGGGAGGGGCAGTCACTGGATGGAAGGGTTGATGTGTCAGGGTGGTGTAGGTGCAGTTGATCGTCAGGTGAGGGTGGGAGGGATTTGGGCGTCACGGCAGTCATTTGGGTGTGGCTGATTGTCTGGGGGGAGA